TTTTTTTTTTTTTTTTTTTTTAATTTTCAGAGGTGACCTGCTGGATGGTCACAGGTGAGAGACAGGCTGAACGAATAAGGGGCTTGTACTTGAAAACCATATTGAGGCAAGATATTGCTTTCTTTGATGTGGAAACAAACACAGGAGAGGTTATTGGAAGAATGTCTGGGGACACAGTTCTCATACAGGACGCCATGGGCGAGAAGGTATTTATCTTTACTCTGTGACGATTAGAAATCTACGTTTTGCAGGCTGGGAAGTTCTTACAGCTGGTTTGAAATCCCATGAAAATCATCCTATACATGTAATCGTGGAAACATTTTCCTATATTTTGCAGGTTGGGAAGTTCATACAGCTGGTATCCACATTCTTTGGAGGTTTCGTTATAGCGTTTATCAGAGGATGGCTACTTACCCTTGTCATGTTGTCCTCTATCCCTCTCCTTGTGATATCTGGTGGAGTCATGGCCCTTCTAATATCCAAGATGGCAACTCGAGGACAAAGTGCTTATGCTAAAGCCGCCACAGTAGTTGAACAGACGATTGGTTCCATCAGAACTGTATGTTCTATATAAAAAATCGTTGCAAATCTTTTCTGTTTTTCAGTGAAAATATATGACCAATTATTCGATCTGATTCCAGGTTGCATCATTTACTGGTGAGAAGCAAGCCATAAGCAATTACAACAAGTTTCTTGTTACTGCTTATAAATCAGGCGTTCATGAGGGCACTGCTGCTGGACTAGGTCTTGGCATGGTTATGCTAATTATATTCTGCAGTTATGCTTTGGCTGTATGGTTTGGTGGGAGGATGATCTTGGAGAGAGGGTATAGTGGTGGTCAAGTAATTAATGTGATCATCGCTGTATTGACCGGTTCCATGTGAGTTAAAATTTGAATTTTGTTCATCTTCTACTTATTATGCATGCTTCATAGGCTAAATTTCTTGTACTTATGGATGTTTCAGGTCCCTGGGGCAGGCATCTCCCTGCATGAGTGCATTTGCCGCTGGTCAAGCTGCAGCCTTCAAGATGTTTGAGACCATCAAAAGGAAGCCGGAGATTGACTCCTATGACATGAGGGGGAAAGTATTGGAGGACATTCGTGGGGATGTAGAACTGAGGGATGTTTATTTCAGTTACCCTGCCAGACCAGAGGAGCAAATTTTCAGTGGATTTTCTCTTTCTATTCCAAGTGGCACAACAGCTGCTTTGGTTGGACAAAGTGGAAGTGGGAAATCAACTGTGATCAGTCTGATAGAGAGATTTTATGATCCGCAAGCCGGTGAAGTTCTTATTGATGGCATTAATCTCAAGGAGTTCCAGCTTAGATGGATCAGGGGAAAGATTGGTCTTGTTAGCCAGGAACCTGTGTTGTTTACATCAAGCATTAGGGATAATATTGCGTACGGAAAGGAAGGTGCAACCACAGAAGAAATAAGAGCTGCAGCTGAACTTGCAAATGCTGCTAAGTTCATAGATAAACTGCCTCAGGTTTTAATTTCTTGTCCACATGACATGATTATTTCTTATTCTATATCTCAACTTCTATAATTATATATGAATTACAATTTACTTTCGAAAATTTTGAACTCCATATATAGGGACTAGATACCATGGTTGGAGAGCATGGAACTCAGCTTTCTGGTGGACAAAAGCAGAGAGTGGCAATCGCAAGAGCAATTCTGAAGGATCCACGGATTTTACTTTTAGACGAAGCTACAAGTGCACTAGATGCAGAATCTGAAAGAGTAGTGCAAGAGGCGTTGGACAGGATAATGGGCAATAGGACAACTGTCATTGTTGCTCATCGTTTGAGTACCGTGAGAAATGCAGACATGATTGCTGTAATTCATCGAGGAAAAATGGTTGAAAAAGGTTGGTTAAAAGCATATCTTTATTGAACTACTCCACAACAAAATGCATACTCAATGTTGATAACATTTTTGCGAATTGAGCAGGGTCACATTCAGAACTACTCAAGGATCCCGAGGGAGCTTACTCTCAGCTTATTCGATTACAAGAAGTAAATAAAGAGTCGGAACAGGTAGCGGATGTATCAGACATTACTCCAGAATCGTTTAGACAGTCAAGCCTAAGAAGGTCATTGAAGCGATCAAACAGTAGGGGATCATCTATGGGAAATAGCAGCCGCCATTCTTTCTCTGTATCTTTTGGTTTACCTACTGGAATGAATGTCACTGAACCTGCAATGGTAGATACAGAAGACCCCGCTAAACGACCATCAGAAAAGGCTCCAGATGTTCCCATCCGCCGGCTTGCTTACCTCAACAAGCCAGAGATTCCCGTGATCCTACTAGGAACCATAGCCGCAGCTATCAATGGTGTGATACTACCAATTTTTGGTATCCTAATTTCCAATGTAATCCAATCATTCTTTAAACCACCTGATGAACTGAAAAAGGATTCAAGATTCTGGGCACTGATATTTATGGCCCTTGGCCTGGCATCATTTTTGGCATCTCCAGCACGGACATACTTCTTTTCTATCGCTGGATGCAAATTAATCCAACGAGTCAGATCAATGTGTTTTGAGAAAGTGGTCCGCATGGAAGTTGGTTGGTTTGATGAACCAGAGAATTCAAGTGGTTCAATTGGTGCAAGGCTCTCAGCAGATGCAGCCACAATACGTGCCCTGGTTGGAGATGCACTAGCTCAGATGGTCTCAAACATTGCATCAGCAGTTGCTGGTTTGGTCATTGCTTTTGTTGCAAGTTGGCAGTTGGCATTTATTATCCTAGCAATAATTCCTCTCATAGGGATCAACGGATATGTTCAAGTAAAATTCATGAAGGGATTTAGTGCAGATGCAAAGGTATGCTCAAAACCAAGGACTTTGACATCTAAAAATTGCTAATTGAATTTACATATATTACTTACGTAATTTGAGTTAAAAAAAAATAAAAGCAATATGTTTTGAAGCGTATTATTGATTTAGATGTAAATATAATGATTGCAGATGATGTATGAGGAGGCAAGCCAAGTTGCTAATGACGCAGTTGGGAGTATAAGAACAGTTGCTTCCTTTTGTGCAGAGGAAAAGGTGATGCAGCTCTATAAAAAGAAATGTGAGGGTCCAATGAAAACAGGGATAAGGCAGGGGTTGATCAGTGGATCAGGATTTGGACTTTCATTCTTCTTTCTGTTTTCTGTTTATGCAACCAGTTTCTATGCAGGAGCTCAACTTGTTGAGCACGGCCAAACGACATTCCCAGATGTTTTTCAAGTGAGTATAATTTCCAGCTATATAAAGCTTCTCTTGAAACCTTTTTAAGACCTCCGATTTACTATGTATGACCCTATGACACTGAGACTGAAATCTTCTTCGCAGGTTTTCTTTGCTTTGACCATGGCAACTGTTGGAATTTCTCAATCAAGCTCCTTTGCTCCTGATTCCAGCAAAGCCAAGAGTGCTGCCGCTTCCATATTTGCAATTATTGATCGTGAGTCTAAGATAGACCCAAGCGATGAGTCTGGGATGACGCTAGAAAATGTGAAGGGAGATATCGAGCTTCGTCATATCAGTTTTAAGTATCCATTAAGGCCAGATATTCAAATTTTACGAGACTTGAGTTTGTCTATTCATGTTGGCAAGGTAATGATCCTATTGCCGTTTAAACTCTAGTTTCTCGTCAAATACTCGTATTTCATTTTATCAACATATTTGTTGAGACTAAGATCATATAATAATGTCAATCTTTCTTTCAGACTGTTGCTTTGGTTGGAGAAAGTGGGAGTGGGAAATCTACAGTAATCTCATTATTGCAGAGATTTTATGATCCTGATTCAGGACGTATTACTCTTGATGGAGTTGAAATCCAAAAGCTCCAATTAAAGTGGCTGAGGCAACAGATGGGTCTTGTAAGCCAAGAGCCTGTTTTATTTAATGATACAATCCGTGCTAACATTGCATACGGAAAGGGAGGAAATGCAACTGAGGCAGAAATTTTAGCTGCTTCAGAGTTGGCCAATGCTCACAAGTTCATTAGTTCATTACAACAGGTTAGACATCATAAACTAAACTGTCTCCTAGTTGGCTCAATAATGCAACTTTTACAAAAATCATTAAATAAAAAAACATAATTTGAAAATATGCTTGATTGGTTACTAATATTTTTTTCTTTTCCTTCAAATAATTTGTAATCCAGGGCTACGATACTGTAGTAGGAGAGCGAGGAGTTCAGCTGTCAGGAGGGCAGAAGCAACGCGTAGCCATTGCGCGAGCCATTGTTAAAAGTCCAAAGATACTGCTATTAGATGAGGCAACGAGTGCATTGGATGCTGAATCAGAGAGAGTGGTTCAGGATGCACTAGATAGAGTCATGGTGAACCGCACAACAGTTGTGGTTGCACATAGGCTATCCACAATCAAGAATGCAGATGTAATCGCCGTGGTTAAAAATGGCGTTATCGTAGAGAAGGGAAAGCATGACAGTTTGATAAACATCAAAGATGGTTTCTATGCTTCCTTAGTTGCACTTCACACTAGTGCCTCCACTGCATAAACTACATAATTAATTATAGTTTTTTTTTTTTTTGGAATTTGATGTAATCATACATTTCGGTAAAGGTTCACTTCTCTTGTTCTTTTCTCTGCTCTAATCATCGGAAAAACTAATCTGTTTTTTCAATTTATATAAAAAATGGGCCTAGTCCTTTGGATTGGTCCAATTGAGCCCAGAGTGATCTGGACCTTGGCAATCCGTCTTCAAATCCACCACCGTCTAATTTATATCTACCTGGCAAACAGAGAGGAAATCAAATTGCCGCGAGGCAAAAGGCCAATCGAGCTGGCAAAATCGTAACCGTTAGTTTTCAGCTGATGTCATCGCACCGCTAATTTTAAACAGAAACGCATGTCAAAGGCTCCTTAAAACGTGGCAAACAATTTCTTCACGTGCGTGCCACTGCTAAACATAACAATCCTTCCACGTCAGCTTTGGCTTTTAACCAACCAGTAATAAACAGCCACGCGTACTAATTCGTTCCTACCAGGAATCCGATACCGTTGTGAAAACGGGCATTTTGTATTCACTTCTTCATTCCTTCTTATTTCTCTACAGGAATCTATAGCATTGGATTCATAGGCCATGGAGACCTCTGGCATTCTTTACAGGACGGTTTTAAGGTTACCGACGACCAGGGTTGATTTTGGCTGTCTGTTTTCCAGGGAGTTGAATCTTGGTGTTGGCGATTCCAGGGTTTCAGTTAGGCGTAGGAATTCTTACGGGAGATTGAGTTGTCAGTTTGCTGATTCAGGGCATATCCGGTATTATGTATCGCCAAGGGTTGGTGTCGGTGGTGGTGGCGATAAGAAAGAGAAGGAAAAGAGGCGTGAGATTAAAAGAGTTAAGAAGAAGTTGAAGTTTATTAAGAGATTGTCCAAGGACTTGTCCATGCTTCCTAATATGGTTGATGGAAAGGATATTGGGATTGGATTGATCGGTGAAGTTAAGATGACGATGGTTTCTGTAAGAAATTAATTTTGCCGTTTTTTTTTTACTTTTTTTTATTGGTTTGATGATTGATCTGGTTCATGGTATTTGCCTGAGGAAATAGTTCATAGTTGCCTTTTTGTTTATGGTGCAGATAAACTATGATCCTTTCTTTGTGACAGAATTAGGTGATATTTCTTTTTGGAATTAGGATGTTTGTATTATATGGATTGGAAACTTATATGTTCTTTTGTTACTGCAGGAAGCAAGCGACATTTTACTGGCACTACTGAAGCAGTTGAGATCAGAAAATAAAGAGTTGAAGAGAGAATTGAAAGAGGACCGAGCTCAGCTCAAAGCCACTTTGGAGAAATCAGAATCATCATCTTCCTCTGAGTCAAGTGATAGCGAATGTGGGGAGGTAGTTGACACGAAAACCCTGAGAAGCAATGTTTTGAAACCATCTCAATATATAGAAACACCAAGTGAGGATGATATGAGACAACCAGAAGATGTCGAAGCAGCAATGGTGACAGAGGAAGCAACATTAGTTAACTCTCTTATTGAACTAGAAAACTCAGATTCGATCCCCCAAATACGGATACGGGTACCTTGCTCTGGTTTTGGTAGTGAATATTGCTGTACAAATGGCTTCAAGAATGATCACAACAACAGACTTGTGGAAGGTGCATCCACCAAGAAGATTGAAATTTGCATGGGTGGCAAGTGCAAGAAGCTAGGAGCTGCTGCTTTGTTAGAGGAGTTTGAGAGGAAGGTTGGTGCAGAGGGCACTGTTGTTGCGTGCAAGTGCATGGGGAAGTGCAAAACCGCTCCAAATATTAGGGTCTTGAACTCTCCAAGTGGAAGAGAAGCAAAAAGCGATGAAGACTCTGTTGGACTTGGGATTAAGCCCACATTCACCGGCGTTGGGCTGCAAGACGTGGATATGATCGTTGCAAATCTGTATGGCAAGAACGTAGACGATGAATGTCTGATGCTCTCTGCATGAGTCTTTTGTTTTATTTTTTGATTAAATTCGTGGATTTAACAGGGTGTGTGAATATGAGATAAAGTAGATGTGATAATTGCCATGGAAGAAACTACCTGTATTTCTAGGATCCAGCTGTTAACGTAAATGCAAATGATCTTTTTTTTTTAAATCTTTTGGTTCAGCTTGAGAATTTAATTTGTCGGGTGAAATGGGTGCCAGATTTTCAAATTTTGCTTTCTTTCTCCTCTTCTGCTAAGCTCATCAAGTTACTAATACAATATATTAGGCAATGCATTACTGGCAATAAGTCCTTTAACGAATTCACGTAAAATGTCGGGCTGGGGCAAATGAGTACATGATGCCATTGAGCAGCTCAAGGACAAGGCAAATATGGCACAACGAAAATGTTTTGGCGGAAACATATGAAAATTGACTATCCCTAGATAAATGTTAAACAAGCTTGATTTATGAAATTCGTATCAACTAAGGATATACTGTTAAACAAGCTTGCTTTATGAAATTCATATCAAACTAAGGATATACTGGCTACAACAATGTACAAACTCAGACCCTGGAGATATGAATGAAAAATCAAATTCAGCTGAAAGCATATTGATTGCTAAAGAATGCTTGCATCCATAGATTTATTGTCCAACTACAGGGATTGATAGAACAAAGCCCCGAAACGTGTCACACTACATTGGTCAAAGGTTCTTACAAAACCTTTTTGCGGTTCTAAGAAGCACATATAACCATTTCTTGCGCGGTGCTCTTTCCCAATTATTTGGTTCTGTAAAAACTGTGAGAAGCAGCATGCATCAGAAAGCTGGAAAAACACAGATGTTAATCCGCGGAAGGCTTCTCCAATCTTTATGACTTCCTAGTCAAGTGAAAATAGAAGAAAAATTAAGGTACATAATCTTCTAGATTAGAATAAATTTCGTACAAATGTAAAAGCACACAAGAGAACATTTGATTGTTTTGGCATGCGGTCACTAATTTACAACTTGAAACACATGAAATTAACCAATGCAACCATAATTGATCAACGACTATTGCTTAAGATGCTATTGCATCTTACGCAAAGTATATTCCACAGACCAGGTTATGTCCCCATCAACTGTCCCATCCCAGCTCCCCTTGCCCCTCTCCTTTTCACCTCCCGTGAATATGGGTTCCCAGAACTATTAATGCATCAGCACCAGCAGTACATGATTGAGTTTCTAGAAGTGCCATTCATATTTATATATTATCTAATTCCATTCTTCCATTAGTATGATGATATGAACAAAAATTTTGCAGAGAAATGATTCTAAATGATTAGGCAGGTTAAATCGTTTCATAAACAAAACATGTACTTTCATCATGATGCAATTAAATTAGAATCAGAAACATTTCACAAACATATGATCCCATTTTTCCATTAGTATTGTGATATGAACAAAAATTTTGCAGAGAAATGATTCTTAGCTATTAGGTAGGTTAAATTGTTTCATAAACAAGACAAGAAGTTTCATCATGATGCAATTAAATTAGAATCAGAAACATTGCACAAACATATGATCCATAATGCGGCATTGAAGTAATAATCCTTTTTTTTTTTTCCTAGTAATAGACTTAGAGCATAGGATTCTCTTTATACAGTAACACAATGAATTTACACCAAGAAATACTAACTAGGTCTTATGTTTCCAAATTATATGTTTCCCTTAAATATATATAACAATCAGCTTTAGCTAACAGGTAAAGCTTCTTAAAAGCAAACACTGCACAAAATAACTCACCAGGCAACAAAGTCAAAAACCTTACCTCTTCATTCTATACAAAGCATTTTGCAAGTTTTCCCATCCTCAACTAACCGATTAATAGCATCCCTAAATTTCTCATAATCCTCCAATGTATTATAAACTTGATGAGAAATTCTTGCATATCCTGTAATAAACCCATCCTTATCCCTTACTCCCTCCTCCCCGTCCTTCAAAGCCTGATAAAAAAGTGGAACTTCGACCTCATAATAATCCCGCAAATGCGACCTCAATCTCACTGCATCCTCCTCGCTATTAAGACACAACCTTGAAGGCAAACCAACCATCAGCATCCCTGCACACATCTTGGGAGGTGACCCTAGATTCGTCCCCCAAGACTCAGCCAACATCTTCCCCATCTTCACCACTTCATCATGGTTCCTCTTCATTATCCAATCAATCCCTCCTTCGAACCGGTTAACAAACTCCAAAACTGCAGGAACCACTAACTGAGAACTATAATCCCTAGTCCCAATCCAGGCGCTTTCGATAGGTAATCCATTTCCAAACTCATGTGAAACAACAGGGTGATGCACATCAGAGGATACATTCGAATTTTTACAATATAAAAATGCTACAGAAGGCGGGCAAAAAAACCATTTATGTAAATTGCTAACATAAAAATCAGCTCCAACTTCTTTAACATCTACTTTCACACTCCCAATAGCGTGAGCAGCGTCTACGAAAACCTGATCTATTCCTTCCGCTCTACAAATCCTAACTAATTCTTTTACCGGAATAAGAACCGATGGCATTGATGTAATATGATCGATAATCGCTAATCTTATCTTTCTACCGTTGGATTTTCCCTTCTCGATTGATTTTTTGAATTCGGAAATTATTTCTTCCTCTGAATTTACCGGGAATGGTAACCTTACCTCGATGGCGGAGCCCCCGGCGCGTGTCACGTACGCTTGGATTGATTTTTTAACGGCTTGGAACGCGCAGTGGAGCATTAAAACAGTGTCATTTTTCTGGAATTTTCCTTCGGCAAAACTACGGCCAATCTGTTGGAGGACGATGGCGGCGGCGGTTGTGGCGTTATCAACGAGGGAGACCTCGTCGACGTGGTCGGCGTTGATGAGGTCCTTTATGATTTTCCGTGACGCTGTTATTCCGTCACGAAGGGTATTAAAGTAAAAAGCATCAGGTTGTCGGAGGAACTGGAGCTGCAACTGGCGTTGAGCCGCAAGAACCGAACCGGGGCAGCTACCGAAACTCCCGTTGTTGATTCGAGCCATACATGGCTGGTGGTGAGAGAACTCGCCCCTGATTTCAGCTTCGGATATGAACTTGGAAGAAATTTTGGGTTTTTTGGAGCTGCAGTGAGTCGACTCACCGTTTCGAGGGTCTTCATGCTCCATGGGCCGAGATAGGGAAAGAAAATTAAAGCGGATTAGGGTTTGTGAAGAAAAAGCGCATGATTTTTTGAGAACTCGACAGATCTAACTCAGTTTTTATATTGAACTTTCATCTGCGATAAAAGGATATCGTACTGTTCGCATACAGGGCAGGAGTTGGACCGGAACTGAAATGTGTCGTTATCGACTTTTCTATACGAAAGATGCAAAAGAAACGGCGGCGTTTAATTTCCTTAGCAATTTATAAACATAACCGTTAGATTGTGAGAATTTCCTTTGCAGGAATCTAAAATCAGGGGCCAAAATTTAACACGTCGGAAATATAGGCGGCGTCGTTTCAATTTAAAACACGTCATACTGTTTGCTAACAACAGCTGTTGACCAATCAAAAGAAGCGATCGAGCCAGTAGTGCCAAAAAACATTGCCGTAGGTTAAAATGAGTGGGTGGGTGCGTCCATGGCTACCTAGTTTAGTAGACCGAAGAGAACAATGGGATGTGTTTTTGGGGCTCGTCTCGGCCATGTCATAAGAAACATAGCCACAAACGCAACACCGAGACGAGACGAAGGAAGAGAGAGTCTGATTAAAACGAGTCAAAGATTATTATGATTCCAAGTCTTTGATATTTCAAATAAAAGATTCTCCTTTCTTTCTCAATTCCCCTTATATCAGGTATGAAATTTGTGTATTTTTCTATTACATGGATACAAAAACCCTAGATTTAATTCCTTTTTTTTAAAAAAAAAAAATTTTGGATGCTAGATTGGATTCTGGAAGAAGGAATTGTATTGAAGCTTGATGGAGGTGAAGATAGAGAGCAGCTAATTGATCAAGTCCCCTTTTTTTTTTTTTTTGATTTTGCAAGGTGAATTCTGGTGAAGTTATGGGTCTTGAATATTGATAGAATTCGTGGATTTGCTGTGGATATCTTGAATTGGGTTTCCTTCAAAATCCAATCTTGTTCGTTGTTTGTTTGTGGGGTTTTCAGGTTTTGTTGTGGCTTTTTTTGGGTGAAAGTTGCATTGAAGTACTTTGCAAAAGCTTAAAACTTGCACCTTTTAATTCTCTTCCAAGAGCTGGAATTTGGCTGGCATTACTTGTTTTATACCCCCGAGTTTCACTGTTCTTGATATTCAATTAAGGAAGGCTTTCAATAGCAATGGCTACACGGCCACAAGCTTCTCCAGGATACTCTAGGACTATTACTCCTCAGATGGATTCTCCTTCACCAAATCCTGATAAAAGTCCAATTGCTCCTGTTCCTCCCATAATCTCACCTGGAGCACCTAGATTTCCTCCGCCAAATTTACAACAAAATCAGATCGCTTCCCCTTCAATAAAAAATCCTACTATTCTATCACCGGAAAATGGGGTCAAAACTAGGAGCCCTATTTCCCATCTTAGTACTCCCCCTGGCCCTCCTGTATTTACATCACCAGTCCGGCCTGCTGCTGTACCTTTCCGAACCTCTCCTGCAATTCCTCAGCCAGTTGCTTTCTCATCAGGTTCATCTTTGCCCACATCCTCACCTCCCCATTTTTCAAATGGGTCAGTTGAGCTACAACCGCAACTTCACAGTGCTATAGAGGAATCTGTGCCAGATGGAGAGTCACCGTGCGTTTTGTTCTCAGCTCATAAGGTATCTTCCATCCTCTGTGAGATGAAATGAAAACCCGTCTATTTTCTAGAATATTGATACCAATGTCTCAAATTTCCTATTCAGATTTTATGATGATGTACATATTATTAAATTTTACAATCTATTTAGCTTTGTAATTATATGCAGTTATGCACTATTTCTATTTATAATTTATTTGTCCTCCTCTTCCGTCCATTTTGTATATTAGGTGTTGAAACACAAGAAACAAGCAAATATACCTAGTTTAGGTTTTGGAGTATTGGTTTCTCCTGGGAGGGAGACTTCACCAGGTCCCCAAGTGATACAACGTGATCCTCATCGATGCCATAATTGTGGAGCTTATTCAAATCTGTATTCCAACATACTAATTGGCTCTGGCCAATGGCAGTGTGTAATCTGCCGGAATCTGAATGGGAGTGAAGGTGAATACATAGCATCAAGCAAGGAAGAGCTCCGTAATTTTCCTGAGCTTTCATCAGTTTTGGTTGATTTCATTGAAACAGGGAATAAGAGACCAAGTTTTGTTCCAGTTACTGATTCTAGAACGTCTGCACCTGTTGTTCTTGTCATTGATGAATGTTTAGATGAGCCACATCTTCAGCATTTACAGAGCTCCCTGCATGCATTTGTTGATTCAGTGCCACCAACAACAAGAATTGGAATCATTTTGTATGGTCGCACAGTATCGGTCTACGACTTTTCGGAGGAATCCATAGCATCTGCTGATGTGATCCCAGGTGGCACTTCACCAACTCAGGAGACCTTGAAAGCATTGATATATGGAACTGGTATATACTTGTCACCAATGCATGCTTCAAAAGAGGTGGCACACCTGATATTCTCTTCATTGAGGCCATACAAGCTGAATGTTCCAGAAACATCAAGAGATAGGTGCTTGGGTACTGCAGTTGAGGTTGCTCTGGCTATTATTCAAGGACCATCTGCAGATATGTCTCGAGGTGTAGTTAAAAGGCCAGGTGGAAATAGCAGAATCATTGTGTGTGCTGGTGGACCAAATACTTATGGGCCTGGATCTGTCCCTCATTCTTATACTCACCCTAATTATCCTCATAAGGAAAAGACAGCATTGAAATGGATGGAGCATCTTGGTCGTGAGGCTCATCAGCATAACACGGTGGTTGACATTCTTTGTGCTGGAACTTGCCCTGTGAGGGTTCCTGTGCTTCAGCCTCTTGCAAAGGCTTCAGGGGGTGTTTTGGTTCTTCATGATGACTTTGGCGAAGCCTTTGGTGTGAACTTACAAAGGGCATCTGCAAGGGCTGCTGGTTCCCATGGTTTGTTGGAGATACGCTATTCTGATGATATTCTTGTTACTCAGGTTGTGGGTCCTGGTGAAGAGGCACATATAGACACCCATGAAACCTTTAAAAATGATATTTCTCTCTGTATTCAAATGCTGAGTGTTGAAGAAACACAATGCTTCTCAATATCGATGGAGAATAAACATGACATCAAAAGTGATTACATATTTTTCCAGTTTGCTATTCAATACTCAAATGTTTATCAAGCTGATATAACTAGAGTGATTACTATCAGATTGCCAACTGTGGATAGTGTTTCAGCCTATCTTCAAAGTGTTCAAGATGAGGTGGCTGCTGTCCTAATGGCCAAGAGGACTCTCTTGCGAGCAAAAAGTTATTCTGATGCAATTGATATGCGAACAACAATAGATGAAAGAGTTAAAGATATTGCTTTAAAATTTGGGTCTCAAGTGCCAAAGTCAAAGCTTTATCGGTTCCCAAAGGAAATTTCTTTACTACCAGAGCTTCTATTCCATCTTAGAAGGGGCCCACTGTTGGGAAGTATAGTTGGTCATGAGGATGAGAGGTCTGTACTGCGGAATTTGTTTTTGAATGCATCCTTTGATCTTTCACTTCGCATGGTTGCCCCTCGCTGTCTGATGCACCGCGAAGGAGGCACTTTCGAAGAATTGCCAGCTTATGATCTTGCCATGCAGTCTGATGCAGCAGTTGTTCTAGACCATGGTACAGATGTCTTCATTTGGTTGGTATGTAAATTAAACCATCTTTTAGCTTTGGCATGTATAGCTGCTATATTTGCTTTCTCGCTATTGTTGCTTCTATGTTGTTCATCTTTGAGCCATGGAATCTGGCATTCATGTGTGTGCCATATGTTGTCCATTTTTCCTTTGTGACTGAATAGTAGATCCAAGAATGTATGTTGTCTGAAGGCCAGCTTGTTTGTTCCTTTCCTCTGCATGAACACCATCATGCCTGGTTATTATTCAGAATTGTATTTCTAATGTTTATATCGGGCCACAGTAGAAAAGTGGTACTGGCCTCGTGTAGGGGAACTTGGAAAGAACGGTTTGGAATTGAGAAGCTATTCATGCCTTGCAAAATGCAAAAAAGTAAATGCGGTCACAGCTACGACATCCATCTAACATGTTTACATCATTGTCACTATGTAAATTGAATTCTGTATAGTATACCTCTACATATATATATATATATATATATATATATATATATATTACACCCTATGAGAAGCTGACCCTGGATGTATGCATATTCTATTTTTCTGTTCTACCTGTGTTTGTTTGCATGGTATGTTTATTTTATGAGAGAAACACTGGTGGATTATTTCATTTAGAATTGTATTCAGAAACTGCTTTTTGTTTTTTTTTTTGGGAGTAATGTTGAACATCTTTCTGTCAACTGCTGGCTTCAGGGTGCTGAACTTGCGGCTGATGAAGGAAGAAATGCAGCAGCTTTGGCAGCTTGTAGAACATTGGCAGAAGAGCTCACGGAGTTAAGATTTCCAGCACCTCGGATCCTCGCATTCAAGGTATTTTTCCCTTGATTTGTCCCCACATTCTATTAACAATGCATCTTAGTGTTTTTATTTGTTATCCAACAGACTGAAAAGAACCTAATGATCTGGTTTTATTGCAGGAGGGGAGCTCTCAGGCTCGATATTTTGTTTCTCGGCTGATACCAGCACATAAGGATCCTCCTTATGAGCAGGTAAGAGAAAAAATATAATGGGAAAGCCTCTTAGCTTTTAGTCCTAACAGGTCTATTTATTTCTGTGTATTTTACTGGAAAATAAAGGACCACATCTATTTTGGAAACAGTTAAGTGATATATAACTTTTGCCTGATATTTATGCAGGAGGCAAGATTTCCACAGCTTCAAACCCTGACAACAGAACAGCGAACAAAATTGAAAAGCAGTTTTATTCATTTTGATGATCCCAGCTTCTGTGAATGGATTCGGAGTTTGAAAGTAGTGCCACCAGAACCAATGTAAGAGATGTTTTACGATTTTTGCGGTTAAAATTCCTCCAAAAAGGAGTCCCAGAGAGTTGCATCCAACCATCATTTATTGGAGTCTTTCTACTCTTCTTTTTGTGCTTCTTCTCCCTGTGAAGGGAATGTAATGTAACTCATTCATCTTTCATTTTATTACTACTATTATTTTTTCCCCTTTTTAGCTCTCTGTTTTACAAAATTCCCCTCCCGTTTCTGAACTCCAAAGAAACA